CCAATCCGGGAACCGGTAGATGAGTCCGACAGCAGCGGGGAGCTCTCACATTGTTGATACATTGCACGTCTCAAATTGTTCAGCGAGCACGCTCCGGCGACTTGGAGCGGAATAATCCCGACCGAAGTGGTTCCATAACTTTGTAATGCGATAAAGCACGTTTCCCTATAATGCCTGAAAAGCGCTTTAAAAGCACGTTAAGCCGATTTGCATTGGAAAGTTGATTGGTTGCAATGTGTCAAAAACCTGCTACTTAAAGCTGCTCAAAAGAGACAGAAATAGCTGCTTGAAGGACAGAAACATGAGAATATTCGTTGAGCATGGTTTGAGAAGCCCTTAATCTGTTTATGGCTGTCAAAGTCTATATATTCCGCAGCAAAAGTAAAATGCATTAGTAGATACTGCCTAATGCAATAGGTACGCATTGTCACATCAAATCGGAAAAAGCCAAGATCGCATGGTTGCTTTCCCGGATCTGCCAAAAAGGCGGCTCAGCGATTTAACCCACAAATTCTCAGCTCAAGTTGAATTTCTGTGAATCCATTCAACAGTGTGCAATAGATCAATCGTAAAAGGTCAACGATTGGTATGTGGCTGCCGCTGAAATGACTGAAAAATCTTTTCAGGTTGAATCAAAGCCGTTCAGGAAGCGTGGGAGAAATGTCAAAACTGCCCCCCCCCACCTCCACCCCCACCCCCACCCCCACCCACACCCCCAGTTTTAACTTGATCAACAAATTGGAGCATTCCGACGAACGTACAAACCGACGACCTCAATGGCCCTTTCTTTCCGTGGCCATGGTCAAATCACGTCGATTTTAACGGTAACAACAGGCATAGGCGCGGGAGCCGGGGGGACAGTGGGGGCAGCTTGCCCCCCTCCCCCCAACTCTGGGGCCGTGGGGCCGATGCCCCCACAGCTTTGAGACGGAATACCACACTTTTTTGGAAATGTTTTCTTTTTTGCTGAAAAAGCCAAGGGATGAAAAATAAGTAGCCTAAAACCGGTGAGAAAACTAGATTTGGGGGTGGTTGATCTCTATTATGGTGTGCCCCCCCCCCCCCAGTCTGAACGTAGTTCCCGCGCCCCTGACAACAGGGTCCTCCCCAAAAAAACTTCTGCTCGTCACTGTTGTGACACTTTCCCTATCAGTAGCCCTCATCTCACCCTGACCTCGCCCCACCTCGCTCCATCCGCCAGTTGAGCGTCCCATCCCTCCCCGCCCCTCCAACACCCCTTCCCCTCTGCGACAGAGTAACGAGTCCCATCCGCTGGAGCGGCGCCGCCGACCGGTTACTATCAACTGACCACAGGATGTCGATCGAACCAGCGAGCACAGCGGTAGAGACGGCCACGGGTCGACTTAGCCAACCGATACAGACCGAGCCAGCCACGGGCCGATCGGCCAACGAGATTTGCGGAATATCAGCCATCGAACATGCAAAATCGACCGAGACAGAGATAGACCAACTGAACCGGCGACTACAGACAGACTCGAGACAGACTGTAGACAGACAGACTCGTCCATCAACTGGAGGAACTGTGAAGCGACTGGTGGCAGTCGCGGCAGTAGAGGCCAGGTCTTTCCAGAGACACACGGCTACGCCCGGTTATAATCGGTTCGAGGGATGGCAACAACAACCAGACCAACCGACAGACAGAATAGACAGGCATATTGACCTGTGACATGACAAGGCTTCGCCGTAGCTACCGTCACAAACCCTCTAGCGCTGCTCCTAGGGAACAGACTCCACAGTTTGTCAGACCGTCACAGTACATCATCACAAAGTTCACCGTTCAAATCAGAAACACCCTCGTGACATTGCGTAACGTCATATCACATCATCTGGAACGGAGGCTCACACCAGAACAGCCTAGAAACGCCCTCCAGACAGGCGTTCCAGTCAAAACAGACTGATGTGTCCGTGTCATTAATCCAGGCTGTCTGGGAGGAATCCCGCCCCGTGCCAAACTCGCCGCAATATGAGCGGCCCGCCCCGAAATCGTCTGATCGTGAGGCGATTTGGAGATAATTCCAGCTCCGGCTGAATTTCGCCACCAGGACCTGATGAAACTGGCTGATATCTATTTCATGGTATGTTCCGTATCCATATCGGTTTTATTATAATGGTATTTCATACGGCTGCGGTTGGACAACTTCATAAAGTGCAACCACTTAGCTCATCATTTATCTCGTCAACCCTCAGCGTCAAAAAAGAAAAGAAAAAAACTAGACGTCCTCGGAAAGCCCCCGCCGTTTTTACGAAGCCACGTCGTGTTCGAGCAACTGTCGGGCCGCAGCTACCAACACAGTCGGTGATAGGGAGCTATTCCCAGCAGCAATCTCCATATGAGACGGTGGCCGCAGTGACAGTCGAGAAAGGGCCAATTTACAATGACATTACCGGAGCTGGGTACGTCGGGTCTTCCCGACAACATTGCACTGGCCGGTTTGCTGTTCGTAGGCACGCTTGGCGCGTGAATCTAATTGTTCAAATGTAAAACGTTCCAATATTTGCAACGGCCAAGTGTTTCGGATTAGTTCAGCTATGGTCAACGGATAATTAGAGAATGATGGCGGTCATTAAAGCATTCTTCGAGTACATGGGATAATAAGATAAAAGCCAAGGTTTAAGGCATTAATACAGTAGGTAGGTACCACAAAACTCCAATAATGCAGAATGTAGCTACGAGCAACAGAGTCCAATCGCTAATGGTATAAGTCAAGAAGAAATGTCGGATGTTGACCTGGAATTGACGATTGATCTTTGTCTAGCTATTCCGGGCGCAGGATTAGTTACATGAAAAAAAAAAATGAAAAGGCAACGATACCAAAGACCTAATGAGGAAGCGATTGTAAGACCTCCATCTAAGTAAGCGAAATCGGATTGGCATGCAATAATTGTAGGGAAGACAATGAATTCAGATAATGCTATACAGATTAACGCTATGAACAAGGGGACCATAACAGCAGCAGCCTAAAAACAGCAACAAATAGAAGGCAAGTGTGGAAGAAAAGATTCAGCTTCCTGGCTGAAAGGACGACTGCCTGTTGTTAGGAAGCGACTATCAAGTGACACTGTTGGTTAACTCCTGTGCCAGCGACCCCGACCGGGCCCTATAATGTCCCGACACCGGCTTTTTGTCCGATAAGCGTCCCATTACCGGCGATCGGCAATGCAAACGGCCCGTGTCCGACGCCGCCGGACGGCTCCGGTGGGTGTCGCCGACGGCGGCCAGCCACGTTCCGCAGGGGATTAGTGGGCCGCACCTGACGGCAGACAGCGCCGCGCCGAGAGACGGGCTGGGGCGCCCATGCCGCAGCACCGGCCTGCGGAGCGTGGCCTGTGGAGAGTCGGCCGAGCTACCGCTGCCAGCTGACCCTCCGAGCCGCCGAGCCGCCGAGCCGCCGAGCCGCCGAGTAAAGCCAGCCACCCGAGCGGCACCGAAAGGGCAGCTATCCGTAAAAAGCGGAAGCGTGGCTATTTGATTGTTTTTACTCGCGCGTAAAATGCGGATTAAATGGCACGGCGGATGAGGGCTGCAAATATGTGCTGACGATTACAAAAAGCAGCCTGCTTTAAAGGAAATTATGGTACATCGATCAAACTAAAAAGGCGAAGTGGTTGTAGAATAAAGCTTGTATACAGCCAAATAATAGGTAAGCAAGATTATTTGCACGATAAAAAGAAACATGTGAGGAAACCACGGGAAACGAGCGGCTCGATAAAACAACCACACTGAAAGGATGCATTACCTTTATCACTTCATATTGCACCTGCGCTTGTCATACGCATTTAATTCAGTTTAGATAATTAATATCCTCACCCAACTACCACTTAAGCTCAGCAGCGGTAGACCTGAATTAAATTTTCTGCCACCGACTCTGGCACAATGCCAGCCGCCCGGCGGACTCAGAAACCCGAATCGGTCCGGTAATTCTAGGCAGGGGCGAATTATACAAATTGGGATCCTAATTGCGGTAGCGGCACTGGCCCGTTCGTTATCTCCGTAGTTTCTCACCCAGTCCCGTCACCCAGCCGGGAACGCTAATTAGAGCATCATCTCTCAGTGGCTAGTCGTCATCCGACAGAGGAGCGGGACAAACACACATCCGGGGTGTGCCGGGATCCCAACCGTCTGCATTGTGCAGATCACTGGTGTTCAATGTTGGTAAACAAGTTTTGAGCATTGCTGGTGAATAACTGAGCAATGCGGACGCTATTCGCCAATATCTTATCCACCTTAGCTGGGTATTTTCATCAGAGAAATCCCTTGCTTCAGGAGGTCACTTATCAGCCACTGAACGCATGGGGATCAGCAAAAATAGTCTTAAATAAAAGAACAGACACTACAGCTACTCAAGAATAGCTGGCGTCCCATTAGGCCACAACTTACACTCAACTGTAACAGCGAATTGTGACATCTCACGTCTTTATACTCGTATTATTCTGCAACATTGCTGAATTCAACAGTGTTTGTAAATGCACTTTGTATGCTCAGAATTATTAATATAACCTTATATTCCCCGTAACCGATTCCACTCTGTCGATTGTGATTGACACATGGAAAGAACTCAATAATGCACAGTAATGCAGCCTGGTAAGTTAATCAGGATCGTCTGCTGCACTAATCCAATGTGCCCTCGTAAGTCGGGTGTTAATCAGGCTCGAATCGTTGATACTGATGGCGTTAACAATTGATCATGATATCGTAGGATTGAGTACGGCATTCACAGATAATAGCTACATGCCTAACTACAGATTTTTCACACCTATATGTCAGCCTTCCGACTTCGGTCGCTTTAATAATATCGGCGATTTCGATAGAGATAGCTGCTTGAATTTGCAACTTATAAAATTATCTTTAAAAAACGCTGAAGCGTGGAAAAAATCGGAAGAAGTTGTAAAACGAGAAACTATATTGCATGATGAAAACATCTGGATGGTAAACTACTCAAATACAAACAAAAATTATCAGAGGGTAAGAGTCAGCTTACCTGCACCGTGTTATATCCAGAATGCGTAGAACAGACCTCCGTTGTTGAATATTTCTGAAAAGGAAAAATACAAGCAATCAAAGACAGTCACTAATCGCATAGGTTCATTCCCGCAAAAAAATGCTGAACTTCATTTGAATGAATCCGTTTCAGCGCGAGGTGAGAAAACGTAATTCAGCTACTGTGTTAGCAGAGACAATAGCTGTTTCATCTATCACTTATCAAGTCATGGATGAAACATTCATCAAATTTAAATTATTTCACCTTCAGAACTCGGGTGAAACTTATAAAACATTTTTTTCCTATTGCCAAGAGAGTTGTCAAATCAACAGCATCTGGCAAATTCGCGACAGTGATATCGGCTCACTGGTAAACCGATCCGTCTGGCGCCACCCCTGTCCGGGATTCTATTTCACCCTGCAGCCGACCGTGTGCCAAGTTCGTCATTGGCTGCAACTGATTCGCTTTGATGGAGTTCTAAGCCTCTTGTACTAGTCACCACATCACCCCGCGCTATTCTGATGGCAGCCGCGTGAGGTTCCAACCCGGATTTGACTGAATCACTCGCGGTCCACGCCGGCTCTATCAGGATTCATTACCACTCCCCTCCCCTCACTTCCCTCACTCTGAGAGGATCCCCGGCAGTCGCCCCCCCCCCCTCCCCGGCGGCAGAGAGCACCATAAATTCATCTGTCGCGGGAGGGGCTGCGGGGGGGGGGAGGGGGAAGCCACCCAGCCTGTCGCCACCCATGTGGTAATGGAGCTTGACATTGCGGTCGGAGAGATGGATACCATTGGTGCTGGTGGTTGGCGCGGGGTCAACTGGGACAGCTCTGGGAAGATGGTGGGAGGGTCAGTATGGTAACAAATGCAGGAAGACTGGTGTCGAATAGGACCGTGCGTTCCTGGTTATCTCAAGTGTAAGAAAAAGAATAAGCTACTGGCTGTGACAGACTATAGGCGATTACCGCTGAACTGACGGAGAGGTGGTATCGCACGAGCTGTGACTGAAAGAGGAGGCGGTCGCCAGGTAACTAAACACTGATGACAGGGAGGAAGCTGCTGACATAGGGACAGCAGAGGAACACAATGAAGTGGATAAATGAGAGTTGGCATGTGTTCACTGACAGAAGGAAAGAAATAGCCAAGATGGTGCCATTAAAAAGATTTACACGGCACACCTAATAGAAGTGATAAAGAACCCGTCAGCTGAAAATTATCGACTGGGAACTGTCAACTACTGAAAACCAGACAGAGGGAAAGAATAGTTGCAAGAACTGCAGCTTCAAAAAAAAAGAAAAACGTGAGATGAATGCCAATTTCATAGGCATTTATTATGTAGAATTAGATGACATAAAGACGAAATAGTTATTTTCAGTTTGAGATCAATATTTACTTGTATAAGTTAAACTACAATATGCTGTCCAATGCTTATTTGGAGTTCATTGATAACTATTTCTGTTTCATTTTCCTATATAGCGACGCATGTTCTGAAGCATAGAAATCAACAAGGGTTGAATAGTGCCGTTTACATTTACCGACCTATCGAAAAAATGTTCAATGGAAATTATTGCAATCCTCGGCCAGGACATGCCAATCAACGTGCATTTCTGTGTTCAAATTCTTACTTCCTTATTACACCATGTGCTTTTATCATTCTCAATAAAATATTGTGACTGAATTCCATTCCACTCCTGCCAAGGTCCGCTCAATCCGTTGTCTCGACATTTCATCACGATTTGTTTTACCTACACCGGTTGACATTTGATTGCCGTTGAGACGAATGCCTCTTATCCGCTGACGTATGTCAGAGATGTTCTATCCAATTCCACATGGATGTCTGTTATGTGCTCTGAACAGCAATACATGTCGGCATTCAGTTCCATTGTTTGTGGGGAGTCTGCACCTGCACAAAACAGGCAGTTTTAAGATCGCAATTTCATTCAGAATCACGTTGATCAATATGTCAGTTTTACGTAGCCACAGAAATGAAGCCTTGAAGACCTCGCTACGACTTCAGATAACCGGAAGATGATAGCAGATTTCGCTCGCTGCCTCCATCCGATCCTGCCCGGCTTTTCTCGCCAATGCCCGGTTCAGCAAACGGGACAGTTTTTTTCATGGCATTAATCTGCTAACAACCGGCTGTTCATGAATAGCGATCTGCCAGAATTGGCCCTCTGCGTAACACGGGAGCCACTTGACCTTGTGAAGAAGACGGTCATGAATAGATCTTGAACTGCCGCTACCATATCCACCACACACCAACCATATTTACGCCCCGGGTTTGCATAAACACATCACTCATATAAGCATGCAGACATGATTCATTGATGGTTGCGCCTTTGCAGCTTGGAAAGCTGAGGTATATTTTTGCTTTCCCATATTTGGTAAACGGAGGGATACGCGACATAGCAGCCACAGTCTTTTGTCGTTTGATTTCTGACAATGCTCTTCTATCAGATAACCATGCGTACATACGTAACAAAACCACGCCCCAATGAGCCTCAACTCAGAGCCAATTCCCCGGGGGACCCACCCACAGAGGTTACCCCCCCCCCCCTCCTGACCTCCCGACCCCTGACCTTCACCCTGCGCCGGCGCCGGGGCGTCACCACACGCCGCCATCGACACGCGCTATCGGGACGTCATCGGCACGTCATCGGCACGTCATCGGGCCGTTTTCCACACGTCAGCCGTCCGGCGGAGTATGCTGCCGCCCGGTGAATTGTTTGGGTACGCGATAAACCAGGACCGTTTTTATGCCCCGGGGCGCCGCCAGGGGCAGAGGAAGTGAGAATGGTGGAAGGGGGAGGGGTAGACGGATGTGTGAAGAGGACATCGCATCGTGAAGACTAGACGGTATTAACTGTTCACGAGTATCAATAATGGAGTGAATCACCTATCGTCAACTCACACCCTGATAGGAAAAGGATGGTTACCGAGTTTAAAGCCAACCGCTTGGGGATTACCATTAGCCTCGCCGTACATAATTTTCACGGTCTTCAACGGGAAAACGACCCTGCATATCGTCTCCATACACGATGCACCAAAACCGTCCTACCTTAATCAGCTTAATGCATATAAGCCGCCGAGCAATTCCACTCCATCGTCTGTATCTGTGTGTCATGCACAAACTGAGCAGTCCAGAGTGACTACACATCGGTCTATCGGATGCCACGTGCCACACGGATCGGTTAGATCACCTTCACCGGTCACCAACAGAGCTGGAAGGGCCGTGGGCGGTGGCAGGACAGAGGAGCGATGTCAGTACCATAGCAGGCACCGGCAGGCCCGGTGCGGACCCGGTATTAGGCGGACAATAGACATAACTCCACGACTGCGTCGTTCTTCATGGTTCCAGCTGCCGATGGCATGCCGGAGAGATACGCTTATCCAGGCATGACAGACGGAAAACTGACAGGCTCCTAGGTGAAATGAATAATGTGATCAGGGCCGGATAGCACAATTGAAGTCTGAGCGCGCAGGAGACCGAGAGAGGGTGCTGTGGTCGAATCAATCAACTGGCTGGACTATCACGGCTGCACGGCCTCAGAGTTATGGCATCCGTGACGTAAGAGAAACAGGGGAAACATGAGATATTGGTAGCTTCGTCTCATCAATAATTCATTTTCCGCGGAGCCACATGATGCATTTGAAGGTGGAATATGAAACGATTGTTGTTGTTTTTTACATGTTGCTGTTGTTGTTGTTGTTGTTGTTGTTTTTGTTGTTGTTGTTGTTGTTTCTTATGCTGCTGAATTGTTGTTTTGTAACGATTATGTTAAAGAACGGCGCATCAAGTGCCAAGAGCAAAGAGCTAACAGATTCTCTTCTTGTTAACAAGCTACGACATTTGATTTATTGCATGTCAGTGTGAATTAGCAAGCACCCTTCCAGTGAATGCCGTCACCAAATGAAGCTCATGATTAACTAAGACATGACAATGGAATGCTGGTGTCTCCGGCAGCCGGTTTTCGATCGCGATTCAATTTGTTTAGCCCCCCATGGCCAGCTATGTGCGGTTATGGGTTGTCGAGGATTTTCATTCATTAGTGGATCTGAGATGCGATTAGTTCGAGCACAAGCAATAATAATTTTGTACATGGATTTATTATCTGTCAGCATACAGTGATAGCTAGATTTTGAAGGGTGCCCAGACATTACCTTACGTCAGATTGTTTAAGTCCTAATTATTGCTGGCGAATGACAAGTGTTTGCCGTGTTGAGGATCCTAATCCACATCAGTTGGCAAAATCCGCATGTAGAAGTGTCATGAAGATGATCTCTACCACGTGGCATACAAGCTACCGAACACTTATACGGAAACGCGCCACTCCCCTTACCTGTGTGTATCTCCTACCCCCCCCCCCCCCCCCTCCCTCCCCCCGAGACCCGCAAATGCGGGGTCAGGGTCAACCCTACGCCATGCACAGCCAGGGCAGCGCACCTACAGTCCGGCTCATCGACAATACGACACCCGACAGCATTCCGATGGCTGTCTTATCCCGCGAGTGGCTCCAGCATGACCCTCTACCGACCCGGACCGGCCGCACCCGCCCATAAAATCACCAGATTCCGTCTAGGCAGCGGTGTCTTCGGCGAAAATCTCCAGACTAAGGAACGTGACTGCGAATTTCACGTACTGTCAACATCGCAGTGCCAAAATGCGGCGGGTGGCGCGCTACCGCGTAACGCTTGTCGCGTGGCGCAGTTAAGCCACTCGCAGCGCAGAGCTGCGCCGGATAATCCGCCAAGCCCCTCAAGGTCTTGTTAGTTATAAAACCAAGTTATAAAACCAATTTATAAAGCCGGCGACAAACATATTTTTAGTAACTATAGACCAATATCGTTACTTCCAGTTATTTCTAAGCTATTAGAAAAGATAATATATGCTCGTTTAAGCCAACACTTATTCTTGAACCAAATTATCAGTGACAAACAGTTTGGCTTTAGATCTGGCATGAGTACATACATGCCTATAGTGTTATTACAAGACAAAATCATAAGTGCGTTTGAAAGTGATTCGAACATGTGCGGCATTTATCTCGATT